CCACGGCCCTACAAGGGAGGACCTGGAAATTGCATGAAATTTCAACCAGAAAAGTCAAGTGGAAACCCCTCGAGGGGCGCTCTGTACACACAAGTGCTGGGACTGTCTGTCGTGCTGGCTTTTTCCCTCCGCTGAGCGCTTCCTCCCTCAGGTGGTCTGTACCTGTACCGCCTTCTCCTTCAGGGCCATCAGCTGAGGCCGGCTGAAGCCCCTGACGGCCCCCAGAAGCTCCACGTTCCTGAGGAACACGTCTTCATCCATGCAGAGCAGCTCCTCGGGGGCCCAGCAGGCATTGGCTTCGGCCAACTTGAAGATGTCATCGGAAGAGGGGGTCGTGACTCCATGGCAACCTGCAGGAAGGAACAGAGGACGGGGAATTTCAGGAAACAGTAGCCTGTTTCTGTACTGAAATGAGTAATACGCTGCTCCAGTCGGATCTGTCCACACGAGGCCACGCAGCATAGGAGGTGAGAGCTGTGACTCAGGGACCCACTCCTACCGTTCCTTGCTAATTATCTGGTAACAAAATCATGGGAATGCCAACTTTTTTCACAGTCCCGTGCACACAGTAGGAGCTTTCCACCATTACAGCTGGACTGCAAATTGCCTTGAGGGCAGCAGGAGCTGGCACTGAGTATGGGGGTGTGCTCCAAATCCCTCTGCAAACGTGGGGCTCTTTGGCCTGTGTCTTTGCCACTCTGTCACCTTGTAAACATTCCATCCAGTCCCCCGGACACGGAGGCCTCTGGATGCCAGGGTCTCAGCCGAAACACCACTGCCATGGCACGGGCTCTGATCCCCCAGAGATGCTCACCGGGGCTGGGGTCAGTGCTAGGGCTCCTGTCACTGCTGTTCCGGACGGATTCAAAGACAGCCCAGAGGAATTCTTTGGGGGGCAAGGTCCCGGCCATCTTGGAAGCCGTTTGTTGAAGGATATCAGGAAACTGTGTGGGGTGGAGAAGATCAAAGAGGGGGAGCAAATAATAATTAAAGCACATCAAGCACCGATTTCAATCGGGGTTTAAACTGTGACAGTATTTAACAGCCTCGGGGTTTCTTCCTTTGTAGCAGCTTCTCATCTCAATTTAATCCCTAGCCTCTCCCTAGCCTGGTCATTACAAAGGGTCATATAAAACGATACTCAACCTCAATCACAAGCCAGCAAATGTCCAATAACATACGTGTATATCATTTACACACACTGGTCATGTGTGTGTGTGTGCATATGGCTCTGCTGGGTCTAAGACCTCGAATTAGCACGCATGTGGGATGCACACGCATAGCAGGGGGTAAGCAACGGTTTGCAGGCTGTGCACATTTGCTGGAGGAAACCCATGAAAGGCCTGGGGTTCACTTAGCTGCTGCCTCACCCCCTTTTCCTGAACCTTGGGCACTCTGGAGTGGGGCTGGAAACATCTGAGTCCTTGGAGCAGGGAGATAGGTTCCAGAAAAAAAAACTGGCAGCACAGTGGAGTATAACTGACCCCACTTTCTCTCCCCTCCAAATTCCTTCAGCCTTCTAACGATGGAATGCACAGGTACCTTTGTAGCAACAGAGCTTAATTCATCTCCTGAGAAAAGTACTAGGAAGGGTCCCAGGTCCTTTGTGGTCTCTGCTGTCCAGTTGCGGGGGAGCCTAAGAAACGAGAATGAGCAATAAATTGAAAACTTGTGCTGTTTGTCCATTCTTTTCTTTCAGAAACAGACTATCTTCATGCCTGGAGAGGCTGTCAATCACACGGTCTCACTTCCCTGGCCAAAACAGTGGGCATGTGATGTAGGCTGACCAACCAGAGTCATCCCTAGGGATTTTGATGGAACTACTAGAGAAGCTATTTCTCTTTCCTCTGGTATCTCTGGCATTGAAAAGGATACTGGATGCCATTCTTATCACCAGTGGTGAAAATACAGCCAGACTCAAGAACACAGAGCTGAGGGGTGCAAGGAACAAGTGCCTGCTGACATCATTTGAGTTCCTGGATCCAGCCATGCCTGAAATCCATCCCTGTAGGTTTACATTACATTCGATTTCTGAACGCAATAAATTCCCATTTTTTAGCTTGAATTGAATTGTGGCTTTTCCGTCACTGACTTCGCAGCATTTCCTTCCTCCCCTTCCTCGGTAGAACATTAATGATGTAGTTGTTCCTTGAAATTACCATAACCATCTTGTCTTTATAACAAGACAAAATTTCCCCTTGAACTTGGCAGGATGCGGACAGCACTGATACAGAATCCACTGTTGTTCTTACAGAGATCACAAATGTCTACAGTGATGTGCCTCACGCCGTATTTGGTGACATCTCTAAAAGAGGTCTACCTAATTAGCAGTGATAACCTCTCTCTTAGGACAGGGGCCAACCACCCCCAGCCACTAAGCTCCCCCCATCTCTTTGATTTAAATTATTATCCCACTAGACGGTAAGTTCCATCAGGACAGAAACCACCCCTAGCTTATGAACGGCTGTGTCTTCGGTCCTAGGAGAACACTTGTCACATAGTCAGCACCACGTGCCAGGCCCTGTTGTAAGTCCTTTGTGTGTATTAACTCAGTTAGTCACCATAACAACCCTATACGGACCATTCTACAGATGCGAAAATAAAGTACAAAAACAATGAAGTAGCTTTCCCAGGTCACATGGGCAGTAGATGATAGAGTTTGGGTTCCTAAACTCCACATAACAGTACAGTGCCTAGGACTCAGTAATTACTCAAAAACAACAACAAAAGAAATCCATTTGTTGCATAACCGTTGAGTGGTGGCTAGGCCCTACCCTACTATCTGAATTCAAAAAAGAATTCAAAAACTTCTGCTTGAGGGAGGGAAGTCCTGAGAGCCCTCACTCACTCACTCAGGGCTGACAGTGCGTTGATAACCTGCACCATCAGTCGTCATTATTATTATTTCATAACAACAGCAGTACTACACCCTCCCTTGCATTTGTAAAGAACCATCTCTCCAAAGCTCTTTGCCTTTCCTTATGCAGAGAGGTACTGGCGAGGCCTGTAGAGCAGCACTGTGGTTCTCACTTCACAGGGAATCTGAGGCCGAAAGAAGAAAGGTCACGTTTCCAGAATAAACGTAAGCATGACCTTGTTCTAAGCTAGAGACTCTCTGTTTGGAGGGCTGGAGAGCCAGGGCGGGGCGCCCATTCGCCCGCGCACCCCACCCCTGGTGCCGAGCCCTGGCCCCTCCTTACCCGTGCCGCTCCAGGAGCCTGAGCCTCACCGCGGTCTTCTGCTCAGGGCTGAGGTCTGGGCAGTCTTGGAGGCCATGCAGGGCGGTGGCCCAGGCCCTGGGGGACACCCCATGGAGGATGGTGGCCGCCGGCAAGTGGCAGAGCAGGTTCCCCACGATGTCCACGGTGTACTCGTCAGCAATGGAGTCATTCTGAAACCGACAAGCGGGCCTGATGGTTAGACCCAGCCGGGCTCAAGATGGTGATCCCTTAAACATACTTGCTGACCCCAAACCTCGTAAAATTTCTGGGCCCTGCCTCGCCTGTCCTGCCATGGGCCAGCAGAGACGGCATGGGGCCCAATCTTACCCACGGAGACCTGACTTCACCTGTCGGGGACACCCCTCGGGGAGCACTGTGGGCAGAGACCTGGCACATCGTGAGCACCTGGTCAGCGAGGGCTGTCGTCGTGGTCACTGGTCCTGCTCTGAGGAGACCCCAGAGTTCAAAGAGCATCGTAATGACAGTACATCAATAATGGAAACAGCACCTCCAAGTCTGTATGGGCCTCGAAGCTCTTTCTCACAATGACAAAAAGAGCTAATGTTTATTGAATGCTTACTACGTGCCAGGAGCTGTTCTAAGTGTTTCCAGGTCTCAATCCATTCACCTTCAAAGTAACTGTTCAGAGGAAAGTGCTAATATCATCCACATTGTAAAGGTCAAGAAACTGCCAGCTCGTAGCAAGGCCGGGGCTCACACTCAGACAGCCTGCGCTTTGGGCCTCAGCATTAAACAACCTATTGCCTGCTTCATGCCCTCAGTAACTCCAGAAGGAAAGCGCTCTTACACCCATATTACAGATAAGAAAACTGAGGCTCGGGGAAGAGAAGTGACTTTCTCACAGCCACATAACCACTCATCAGCAGAGGCATGTCTAGAACCCAGACTCTGCCCCAGAACGGCAGTCTCCAGAACCAGTGGCCACGACTGTCCCACCTAGCGGCTTCAGAGCCAGCGTTGAGACCACAGGGCAGACTTCTGGCCATCGCAGCAGGCTCGAGACCCCAGCCAGATCCCGAGGGCTCCCCAGGATGCCCACAGAGACCCGGAGGGGCAGAGACACCAGTGAAAGTGTCACCCAGGGAGTTTCCTTACCAGGCACTGCTGCACTTTCCTGATGACCGAATTCTTTTTGTGGGAATCTAAAACCAAGGAGTCCAGCTGACTCTTCCCCAGGCTGATCAGAAAGGGCACACACTGGGATGCTGGGACAGAAGCCAGGATGCGAGCCCTGGAGAGAGATGGGGCGGGCAAGGGAAGGCAGGCAGTGGCTGCTCTGTATTGCCCCCAAATCAGGTTCTGCATGCCCAAGAGCGTATCACAGGGGTGTTCTTTAAATGTTTGTTCTCCCCAGTGATGTTGTGACTGCTTTGGACAGGTAGCAGGCCTCCTACCCACCATGCTCCTCTTCTACAGGCGGGAAACACACTTCCAATCATGCTCCTCTCCTGTGAGCAGGAAACAAGCTTCCCATGATGCTCCTCTCCTACAGGCGGGAAACACACTTCCCATCATGCTCCTCTTCTATGCCCCCCTTGGTTTTCTTGGAGAATCGCCTCCTTCACTCTAAGTACTTGTGCTTTGGGGTGGACCCCATTTCACTCTCAGCTCCAGGAGTGCAAAACAGACCTAAGCCAGTCAAAGTTACCCATCTTCCCAAATCCAGCGATTGGGTCTAGGAGAGCAAATTGGCCCAATGTAGGCCAATGAGTGTCAAACCCAAGTCTTATTGAAAATGATGGGAAGAGAAAGTCTTTCTTCTCCCTGCATATGAAACTAGGAAGATGGCACCTTGGATTTGTCAGGGGCCACCACAGAGAAAGACTCTGCCTACAGAGGAAAGCTGGGCCAAAAGACAGACGTGAAACCATTTTTAGCCCCTGGATCCAGCCATGCCTGAAGTCCATCCCTGGACTTTCCAGCTATCTGAACCCCAAATTGCCTTTTATTGTCTCAGCCAGCTTCAGTTAAGATTCTGTCACTTTCAACCAAATATCAACTTGATATGACAATTGGCTTCATGCTTGTGTATTCCCTCCCCCCACCCCACCATGAGCTTGTAAGCTTTATTAAATTAATAAAGGGAATATTTAGTTATCTCTGACAACTAGTACATAGTAAGCCCTCGATAAGTATTTTTTAAATGAATGAAGACAATAATAGCAAGATAAGAGAGACAGAAATGAAGAGAAAAAGAGAGAAGCAGTACCAGGCCCTATTTATTAAAAAGCAGGGCGGCCCCCACCCCCAGGCCTGAGCACCCACACATACCACCAGAAATCCCCACCGCTGATGTCAGCCCTGGTTCCCCTGGGGCTCGGGCACAGCTGTGAGGCCGGCCCAGGCGGGACCTGCTGCACAGGCATTCATTCAGGGCTTAGGTTGCTTTGGCTTTGGTTTTTAAATAACAAGAAACAGCAAACATGTCTCAAATATTTATGTGGGGCTCAGAAGTTAAATCCTGGTTCTCCACAACCTCACTGTCAATTGCACTCTTCCCTCTGACTATGGTTCCCCACAAAAACCCAGGGGGACAGAATCTTGGGTGACTCCCACCAATCTTATTGCTGCGCCAGAAAAGGGGGGGCCCGGCGTTCACTTACGGGAGTGCAGCCAAGAGGAAGGGTGGCATAGAGGACCTGGAAACTTCCCAGTATTTCCATGCCAAACAGTTAACCTGGAAGATGAAAGCAGGTGCAGGCATCTCGGTGAAGGGAGATAAGAGCAAACACACACTGCGCCAGGCACTGCTCGAAGTGCTCCACGTGTGTTCACTTATGTAACAGAGCGCCCCGTGGTGTAGGTACCACGGCTGGGCCCAGGCGACGAGGAGGAAACTGAGGCACAAGCAAGATGCACACAAACATGTAAGCCTGAGAGTGCTCACCAGTTTCATCGATAACTGCAAGAATCTGAGATCGAGCCTTAAAGCCCCTCAGGAGGGGAATGGTCAAGTAAATTATGATATAGCCATACAGTGGAACACTGTGCAATTATTTTGCTTCCATATGGGAGATTTATGGATATCGACATGGAGTGATGTCCGTGCTCTATTTCATACGTATACATATATATACACATATTATATACAAAGTAAAACAGAACTTTGTACATACAGTGTGTGTAGTATGAGCTCATTTGTGTTTTTTAAGTGACATGCAAATGTGTTTTACATATACCCCAAAACTCTCAAAGTCAAGAGCAAATTTGTCCCTGTGGTTACCTCTGGAGGAGGGATTCTCAGGCTTGTGACATGTGGCGTCAGATAACCCTTTGCTGGGGGCCGTCCTCTGCACTGTGGGATGTTGAGCAGCAGCCCTGGCCTCCCCACTAGATGCCAGTAGCATCTTCCCCATCAGTGACAACCCAAAGTGTCTCCAGATATGGCCAAACGGTCCCCTGTTGAGAACCACTGCTCTGGGGGAATTTTCACTTTTTACTGTTTTGTTTTGTTTTTAAATATAATAATTATGTGTTCTCAGCAAAACTGTCAACAATGAAGGCAAACTTCCTAATGAACTGGTATTTGAAGGTTCTGAGAACAGGGAGGGTCTAGGTAAGGAGCCTTGTGGGGGCAACTCTTCCTGCTCAAAGCAGGTCTGACCTCCATCCATCGGACTTCCCTCCTGACCTGGAGGAGGCTTTTCATATAGTTCAATGGTCCTCACCAAGGGACTGGTTAGAAATGTAAATTATAGGGCATCTCCCCAGACCTACTCTAAGGGAAAGTCTGCAATCTGTGGTTTTCTAAGTTTTATTGAGGTGTGATCGCCATGCAAAGGACTGCACGTTTTATATTTGTATCATCTGTGAGTTCAGATCCATGCGAATACCATCCTAGCATCACCTCAAGGGAGCAGACATGTCCAACGCCTCCCAAAATTTCCTCGTCTCCTTTGTTTTTGTGGTCAGAGCATTTAACGTGAGATCTATCCACTTAACAAATTCTGAAGTGCACAAAGCCATACTGTTACGTCTACATACTGTGTGGGACAGCAGAGTTCTAGAACTTTCTCATCTCGCAAAACTGAAGCTTTGCAGCCATTGAACAACTCGCTCAAGCCTTCCAGGCAAGCTCAGATTCGAAACCACCGATGGAATGGACAACCCGAGGGAACGACAGGGCTTCATGACAATGTCGCATATTCCTCTAACAACCTCAAAGGATTATATACCGAGCTGAATGCTTCCTGGCTCTTGGGGAGAGAATTCACTGGAAACTTTTCGTTCAGATCGGAAATGCTCGGAGGCCAGAGTGGGGGAGATGCCTTGCGCTCACCCGCTCAGGACCTGCACAGCCCTAGTTCACACTCCCGAGACACATATTGTACCTGCTGAGAGACTCTGAGAAGTCTGTTCCTGCCTCTGGTCTCCCCAGACGGTTCAAAAATCTCTATAACCATTTGGAAAGTAAAGTTTTAAGTGGAAAAAAAAAACCCCCAAAACATCCCCAGAGCAGCTTTCAGTTCCCAGCTACCCCCAGAAAGGATGGGGACCTCAGACAAGGGAACGGCCTCCAGTTCCCCGAGGACACCTTCCAACCATATCTTAAGGTTCAAATTGGAGTACGGAATAACCAATCTGCAGAAACTCTGGCTGTGGAGACACGGGGATTGGGAGCTTTAAACCAAGAAACGAGAAAGCTTGGCTCCGTCTTTGACCCACGTCGTCGCTTGTGTGGGAAGAATCCCAGCATGAATTTCTTTAGACGCCACAGTCCGTGCGGGCCTGGGACCGGGGTGAGAGAGAAACCAGCAGGCAAGTGCTGCGATCGTACCTGGTCGGGTGACAACAGACGGAGGTTGCTCTCGAAATACTGGAAATGGGCCAGAAAGGAGTCGGCGCTCATGGCATCGATGTGGGAGCACATGACACCTTTGACCAGCTGCCCTGCACTAGAAAACAAAACGGCGGAGTGAGCCCGAGGGAAAAAGGGGGTGGGGAAGGCAGGACAGAAGGAGCAAGAGAAGACACAGCTGGCCTGACACAGGCTACAGACCAGCTGGCCCACTGTTCCCTCCCAGGAAACTGGCTCCAAAGGGATCAGCAGACACCCACCACCACCCCACTCCCCACCACCACCCCCGTGGAGTTATGCGGTCCTACCTCAGGAGCTCTTGGGGCCTTCTGGTGGTCCTTGACAGGAGCTCATACAGGAACAAGGCCTGAGGGGAGAAAATGGTCACCAGGGTGACACAGCAGTCACCGAGTGAGCACGTGCCGTGCCCAGCACCCTGAGGCCCTGTCGGGAAGGCATGCCACAATTCCATTTAACAGACGGGAAAACAGAGGCTTGCCAGGCCATGTGGCTTACCCAGGACCACATCACTGCTAAGTGGCAGGGCTGGGATTTGAACTGGTGGCAGCGTAATCGCAGAGCCCATGCTCTCACACCCCAGGTCACTGTCTGCGCGCTCGGGGTGAATGAGGAGTAAAGCTACTGGGGAGCACGGCCAGAGGTTTACTTCCTGTGCTTTATGAAGCCGCTGCCCAGCTGAGGACCCTCTGCGCCCCGATTTCCATGCCCACCTGCCAGTTCCTGGACACACAGCATCCCAGGAAACTAAAGTGGAACGGACAGATGAACAGACCAGGACCGGCCAGTGGAGCCAACCGTGTGATTAACAGGTTGGAACTTTCAGTCCCACACCCAACCTCCAGGGGGAGGACAGGGCTGGAAGTTGAACCAATTGCCAAGGGCTAATGATGTCATCAATTGTGCCTGTGTAATGAAGCCTCCCTAGAAACCCAAGAGGATGGGGTTCTGAGAGCTTCCAGGTTGGTGAGCACGTGGGGATTTGGGGAGAGTGGAGCCTGGACGGGGCATGGAAGCCCCAAGCCCCTCCCCTACACCTTGCTCCATGCATTTGCTTCCATCTGGCTGTCCCTGAGTTACATCCTTTCATAATAAACCAGTGATCTAGTGAGTAAGCTGTTTGGGTTCTGGGAGCCGCGCTAGCAAATTAACCCAACCCAAGGACGGGGTCATTAGAACCTCCAATCTCTAGTCAGTGAATCAGGACGGGTGACAATCTGAACTTGCGACTGGCATCTGAAGTGGGGACAGTCTTGTGGGACTGGACCCTCAACCTGGGGGACCTGACAACTACCTCCAGGTAGATAGGGTCAGGATTGAGTTCCATGGCAGGACCCCCAAGTGGTGTCGGAGAACCGCCTGGTGGTGTGGAAAGCCCCACACACACCTCGGAATTGGTGTCAGAACCCTCAGTGGTCACACCTGGCTTCTCCGAAGCTCCTTGTCCTTCAGGACTGTGGAGTTGAATCCAGGTTCCCTCCGTAAATCGAAGAGAGACACTTCCTTAAAGAAAGCGCCTTGTATTTCCACAATGCCGGAGGTGGTATCTCCTGCTTCGATCATCTGCCGAAAGTGAGGAGAGACATGCTAATAGCCTTGTAGCAGATGCATGCCCCTTGGGGTAAGGCCAGGCACTGTGTCAAGTGCTTCCCGGGCAATAAAACCCATCAGATCTGCTCAGCAACCCAGCGACGCGGGGACTATCATTATCCCCATTTTCCAGGTAAGAAAACCGAGGCCTAATGAGTAATTCATTGATAAATGAAATCCAAGCCCAAGTCTGTCTCATTCCAAAACCCAAGCTCTTTATTTTAACCATATCCTACTGCTGACGGTAAGGTGTTGGTGTTTGGGGCCAAACCCCTTGGGTTTGGTGTCTTAACAAATTTTGCCATTGGACAAAGCAGGTGGGACAGAATACGAGGCCCCAAAGAGCCACTGCTGAGTGCAAGAGAGGAACATGGCATGACTTTAAACTACGAAAGGGAGCACTCTGGGAACTCCAGCGTTCATTGTTAGAGTTGAAAAACTTTAAAAATATTATTATATCAAGAAATCTAATTGAAGAAGTCTTCCAGATTTGACTGGCTAGGGGGAGCAGTGGGGTCTGGGGAGAAACACAGCATGACCCAAGGGCTCTTTCTGGAAAGCAGGGAAGGTGGACATTAGGAAAAGGCACTGCCCAGACACAGAACAACCCGTCACTGAAGGCTGAGCTAACCCCAGCCCCGAGTGGATGGCCTAAAGTCACAGCCTGCTCACAAAACCCCCCAAACCACACACTCCGTGAGCCACGTGGCTGAGGACAAGACACCCTCCTCTCACCTTGCTGAGGACGCCTTGCTGCTGGGCAGGTGACAGATCAGACACGTGCAGGGAGATGGTGCTTCTCAGGACCTGCGCGAGGTCCCTGCGATCCATGCTGTAGAATGCCTGGGTGCCCACCCCGGCCAGCAGCACGCCCATCTGGCTGACGTTGTAGAAAGACAGCACCTGGGTGAGGACCAGCCATGAAGGGGGCGGGCTCTGCCTGGCCTTTCACCTTGTGGGCGTTTACGAGGCCCCACTGTGTGCCGGTGGGCGCCAGGGCACCGCCATGGGCAAGACACACGCTGCCCTCCCCGGCATGCCTTCCTTCTATCAGGAAGGGAGTTACACATCCAAACACAACACGACGGTTACTGCTCTGCAGGAGGAAGTACTTTGCCCTCTAAGGCTGTAGCACACATATCCCAACACGGTGACCCACGCCGACAGCTGACCAGGCAACGGGCTATTTTTGTGTTTAATTTGAACTAGCTGACATCATTTAAAAATTGGGAGAACTCCCATAAAAATCCAGATTGGAGTGTTTTTTCCAAAAAAAAAAATCTCTGGGCCAGCCGGATGGCTCAGTTGGTTAAGAGCAGGAGCTCTGAGCAACAGCATTACCGGTTCGATTCCCACATGGGCCAGCGAGCTGCGCCCAAGCTGAGCTGCCGCTGAGCTGTCAACAGGTGGCAGGATGGCTCAGCTGGTGAGAGCATGTGCTCCTAACAACAAGACTGCCAGTTCGACTCCCACATGGGATGGTGGGCTATGCCCACCCGCAACTAAGATTGAACACAGCACTTTGAGCTGAGCGGCCGCGAAAGGCCGATGGGTGGCCGGATGGCAACAGGACTTGGAGCTGAGCTAGCTGCGTCCTCCACAACTAAGAATGAAGGAGAACTTGGCTGTTCCCTTCCCCAATTCCCCCAACACTGTTCTTCTTCCCCAATTCCCCAATAAAATCTTTAAAAAAAAAATCTCTGTATACCAGGCAATCCTGGGCCCATATCAGCAACAAATGGGCCAGAACCGACCAGCAGCTGCCCTCCAGGAAGGTCTTGGGGGGTCCCAGTTCACCCAGCCCCAACCCTGACAGTGCTCGAGGCAGCCCACATTTCTCATTGTCACCCGACAGGCATCTGATGTACACAGCAAAGCCCCACGCTTACCTATCTCCATGTAGAAATTATGAGTTGAAATAAAGATATGTCTCGGGATATGAGTCTGACATTTGATAACATGACAAATGATAATATGGCTCTAGCTGGCTGTCCTATCAGAAATTACACTTGTTTCCCCCCCCCCCCTCCTTTGGAGTCAAGGTGCGAGGTGGGTTTTTTCATGTAACCCAAAGGGCATTCCGTGTTTCTACAAAGAGACAGGTAAGTGGTTTCCTTTGGTGACGCTCTATGGAGTGGATAGTCTCTAACTGTCCCCAAAGGGGGTGAGGCCTTTCGAACGCTTGGCTTCTTAGTAAAAGCCGCCTCGCCCTTCCATAGGAAAAGGTGGATACTAGGAGGGAGATGAGCCATTTCATCCAGGGCTGGGAGGGAACAAGACAGTCTCCCTCGGCTCCCTAAAATCAAATTCAGAGAAATGTCCAGGTCCACCCAGGTGGCCCCAGGCCATACAGGGGAGGGCTGCCAAGCCTTTAAACTGAGGCCACACATGGCTACAAGGGACAAGATGAATGGCCTAGTCTTGACCTTTGAGTCAGAGAGTGAGGATGGGTGGGCAGTGGTCATGGCGCCATGATGGAGGTAGTTAGCATGGGGATAACGTAGGCAGGCTGTGAAGCCAGATGCCCAGCTGTGTCCCTTTGATGTGGCCTGGGCCAATTCCCTCATATGCTCTTTGTCCCATGAACGACCTGGAAAATGAAGGGTGTAACACGGCTGACCCCATAGAGTTGTTGGGAAGATTAGATGATTAACTCACTTAGAACCTAGCACACAGTAAGCACTTTATAAATGCTGGTTATTGTTGTCAAATTGGAATGGGTCCTGATCCAACCCTCCTGAGCCAGTTTGCTTCCTGGGCAGTGACTATGAGTGTGAACCAAAAGAGCGAGACCCAAAATGTTTAGGGTTCAGACCTCTGAAGAAAAAGGCCCATCTCCCAGCCCAGGAGCAGCTAGAGCATCAGCTAGACACAGCTCCTGGTGTGGTCAAGGCCACATGTGAGAGACAGGGCTGGGGCTGAACCCAGGACCTCTACCTTCAGGGCCTGCTTGCTTAACTCCCTCCAGAAAGGACCCTCTGGGAGACGATTCCCTCCCTGCAGCCCAAGGCTGCAATACAGGAGCATCACCTCTGATCCCAGGACGAGGGCTGTGTTAGCAGCCTAAACAACAAGAAAGGAAGCCCTGGGACGGACCCCACACTTTGCTCAACAGCTAAACGACAGCTCACAGTCAGAGTCCCCACTCTAGGTCATGTGTTGTTCTAACCTCTTCCTGTGTACTGACTATAATGCATCCTTGCAACAATCCTATGGGTATCTTACACATCTCCCATCTTCCAAATAGGGAAACTGAGGCAAAGAGAAGTTTAGCCAGTTGTCCAAAGTAGCACATGTGCAGCTAGTAAGTGGCAAAGCAAGGGTTCGAACCCAATAGCACGATCTTCTTACTGACTGGCTGCCCCTGCTGTGTGCATCTCATTGGCCCTTGGGTCTCTGGGCCTTAGGAAAACAGTTCAAAGTTTCAACTGACCTTCTCGTGGGCCAAGTATTTGGCAGACAAGATGATGACCTGGCTCTTAGCCCAGCCTGAGACCTGGTTGAGGGTAGAGATGGCGCCGTGCACAGCCTCGGGGGACAGGGACTCCAGCTGACTGTGGGTCAAGCCCACGATCGCATCCGACAAAGAGCCCAGAGTCTCATTGAGGGTCTGGTTCTCCGTGGCGATGTCTAGGAGGTCAGCTTTGAGCTAGAAGGGGAGCAAGCTGGAATGAGGGTCCACAGCAAGCAGGAGGGTGGTTCCCTCTGACTACATCTCAGGGTGTAAGGACTCCACAACAACCCTCCCTCCCACTCTGCCCCATCAGGGAGAGGGACTCCAGCCAATGGGAGAGAGGCTCCAGCCAAATGAGAGGGGCTCCAGCCAATGGGAGAGAGGCTCCAGCCAAATGAGAGGGGCTTCGGCCAATGGGAGAGAGGCTCCAGCCAAATGAGAGGGGGGCTCCAGCCAATGGGAGAGAGGCTCCAGCCAATAGGAGAGGGGCTCCAGCCAATGAGTAACCCCACTGAGAATACCACTCCTCTGGCCTTGACCTTAATACGCCACAAATTAACTTTGTGCTTCATTTAAATATTAATTTGTTATTATTAACTCAACCTTAAAGCATGGCAGAAGGAAATTTTGTTCCCTTCACCGGTAATTCCACCACACTCTCCCAGCATCTGTTTTCTTTTGGTGACCTTGAACTCTACATCTGTATAGATGGCTGTTCCTCTTTCATGAAATATCCAGGGGGTTTTCATGATAATATATAATCTACGTAAAGCTAATTCTCAGCGGTAACAGAAAAGTAGAAGTTTCCTGAAAATCCTAATAAAAATAGCTGATTAGAAATTGAGTGTGTGTGTGTGTGTGTGTGTGTGTGTGTGTATATATATATATATATACTCAAAAAAAAAAAATATATATATATATATATATATATTTGTAAGACTTATGTCTTTACAAATATGTACTTTATAAATAAACTACAGTTCATAGTTTTCACAGTTGTAATTTGAATGGAAGTGCAATTTTCTATATTTTTCACTTAAAATTATGTCTTACACAAGTTTTCATGTTTCTCTAATCGCCTTAACAATTATTTTATTGTAACATGCCTGTCTAGTTCTAGCCAAGTTTCCCAGTTGCTTCCAGTAGAGAAGGTGATAGATTCACCTCTCGTAATATGACCTCTGTACAAAAAAAGAGAAGAAAAACAAGAACTGTTCATGCATTAACACCGAATTTGTGTGAACAATACGTTCATTTCACACGAGTGTTCCAGGCAGTACAGAAATGGCCACTGGGGGGCAGCAGAGTGAAGGGAGAGAAACAGGGGTCCCAGTTCCTGGTTTCCCCAACTCCTGGGTCCCTAGCAGTTCCAGGCCCCTAGGGCTCAGCTCCCACATCTGTACAAGAAAGGGGAGGCCCAGAGCACTGCTTCTCAAAGTGTGGTTCTTACCCAGAAATGCAGGGTCCCGGGCCCCACCCAGGCCTACTGACTCAGAATCTACATTTGAGACCTTGGGGCGATCCTTACACACACTTAAATTTGGTGGAATTTTGATCTACCCAAGCTTTTCCCTACACTGTTTTGTGTTGTCCCATCCCGTTTTGAGCTCATCCAGTATCTGAGATACCATCTGCTATGACTGGGCCTAGGTCCTGATTTAACCAGACGGGTGTCCTCTCAGAGGCCGGGCAAGGCTGTTCTCCCCATTTCCTGGGCTAGTGAAACAGGCCGAGGCCCCAGGGCCATGCATTCCGTCCGTACCTTCTGAACACCAGCCTGGAAGCCCCTCAGATGGCTGCACTTGATCATCTGGTGAAGAAGGACCTGGGCCATGGCAGCATCCAGCAGCTCCAGGTCGTCATAGAAACAAACCAGCAGCCCCAGCCTGTGTGAGAAGACAAGCGATGCTCTGGGAGGGCAAAGGGCTGGGGCCACGACCACAGCCCCGCCCCCATCAGGACTAACAGGGTCGCAATCACAGCAGCTACCATGTACCAGGTCCTGTGCTGAGCCCTCTACCTGGCTTATCTCATCCCAACCACCCTGAGAGGCAGGTGCTCTTATTAGCCCCATTTCATAGAAGGGCAAACTGAGACTCGGAGAGGTCAAGCGACTTGCCCAAGATGAGCAGTGGAGCTGGGACTTAAATCCAGGTCCATCCACCTCCATCTGGGGGTGGTAAGGACACAAAGCATGGTGCTGAGTCAGCCACAGAAAACACTCCATTTTCCACATGGAGACAAGGGGCTGTCCATCCTGAAGGAGTCTTGGGGGCAGAGACTTATTTCCAGGGTGTTTTACAACCTATACCCCCAGATGATGATGACTTCAAAAGAAAAGACAAAGGAGGCAGAACAGTGTCAGGGCAGAGGTAGGGTTTGAACCCTGGTCTAGCTGGGAGCACCACTCCTAGAGGTTAAGAGTGTAGCTTCAGGCCGGCTGGAGTCTGAAGCCCAGCTCTGCGACATATTAGACCTCCAGCAAGTTACTTAACTTCTCTGCAAGGTTGCTGCATACTGTTGTGCAGTGCACGCTCTGGACAACTGTACAGAGTAGCCCTGCCTCTCTGAGCTTTCAATAAAGAGGAGGTTTGCTTTGTTCATCAGAGCACTTCATAATAAATACAGTGACGGCAGCAATGAGGAATACTGAGTCAGACAAGAAGAGGCTTACCAAAGGATTAATATTTCCTGGGGGGTACTATGCATTCATTAATGGATGCTCTCAGCATTAGTATGAAATCTACTCCACTTAGCACAGCTGCACCACCTGGCTAACCACGCTTGACCCAGCTCCACCCTGAGTCTCAGAAAGACGCCAACACACTTGGACAGCAGAGCAACCAGGCTAGGGGGAGGATCTGAAAATGTGTCTGATGAGAAATGATGACTCGGGGGAAGTGAAGATTGAATATTAATAACCACGTTAATAGCTAATATTTCTCGAGTACTTACTTTGTGGCAGGTGTGCTGAACCCTTACAAGGATCTTAATGAGGTAGGCAGATTATTATCTCCCATTTACAGATGGGAGAGTGGAGGTACAGAGAGGTGCAGGAACATGGCCAAGGTCACACAACTGGTAAGTGACAGAGTTAGGATTAAACCCAGGAAGTCTGGCTCCAGGTCCCAAGTTCTTAGCCACAAAGCTACTTTTTTGTGTAACCATGGAAATATAGGACCTACGCTGATGAGTGAAAATGACTAGGGATGGGGGAAGGTGTAACAGTTTTACATAAGAACATTCTCTACAAGTGACTCTGAAAGAATTGAAGTGATATGGTGATGTCAGAAGAAGCGCTGTGACAGGAAGGCCCTGGGATATAAAGAGAAGAGGGCAAATGGTGCTCCCCACCCCTCCCCTGACACTCAAACCCTTTCTGGAGTCACCAAGTGCACAGCTCCTGGCCCTCCCCTGCTGGAAGCGGTCCCTGGAGGATCCCATTACCACCACTAAATTCTAGCCTGATCTCATGGGGGTTGGGGGAGGGTGGGGTCTAGATCACCTACCTGAGGAGCTAGACAACAAGGGGTTCGCAAATGTGGGGACCCACGAGATATCTCCAACACTCGACCCAGCCTAATGGAAATTACATGTTTACCTCGAAATGGACAGAGTATGGGGTGCTTACAATGTTCCATCTCCACGCTCAGAGCTGAAATCTTAGCTTGATAAGGCTGCATAAGTGCCTGGCACACAGCGGATGCTTAAAATGCATCTCCTCCCTTCCCCCATCAGAACCCCTCCTAAGGGGTCTCTGGCAACCCAGACGCAGGACTCTTCGAAGAGGGACCCGCCGTCATTCTTCCTGCCCTTTGCAGCTCAGAGGAAGCTGCAGCTTAGCTCAGAGCGTGGGAAACAGCTCCGAGGCCTGGGCCCCGCCCCTTGCCTGTGGATGGTAGAGGTGTTCCTCACGTCAAAGCTGGATGAGCCGATTCTCTCCAGGAAGGCCTGGGCCAGGTCAGGCGTGATGTCATAAACTGTGTCCAGCTGCTTGGTGGCATTGTCATAGCTGATAAACAACCCTATCTGGTGGATACAGACAGAAAAATCAGAGAGGAGGGCTGAAGTGGGCCCCATGTCGCCCCACCCTGTTGTCTGCGCTGTGCCCCACCCCAGACACTCAGATACGCCCAGTTCTCATTGTCACGGATTTCTTAATGGTCTGTCATGGATTTCTTAATGGTCTGTCACGGCTGCTGTGGTTTCCTCTTCAACTCAACTGTTATTTAGAAAAGTATCATTTGTTTACTATCCAAGAAGTTGAACTTTTTAAAAGCTGACATTGGCACATTCGTTCCTAGGTTTGTTCTATTGCGGTCAGAGAATGTGGTTCACAAGTTTTCTTTTTGGGGGAATCAGAGATATTTTTAAATAGATGAGTGAGTTTATAAATGGCTCTCGGGTGATAAAAATGAGTGTGTGTTCTATTTGTAAGAGAAAAAGTGAACAAGAATAGAAAGAATGTGAATAGTATATTTAATAAAGTTGAACATACAGAGGGTGCCAAAAAAAATGTATACACATGTTAAGAAAGGAAAAAAATATTAAAATTGTAATACTCAATATATACCAATAACAAAAGGTGAATACAAGCCCCGTTTGACTTCTGCAATGACAAGAGGTGCTCAAAGTGGTTCCCATCCGCGTCCAGACACTTCTGATGACGGCAAGCTACTGCTTGAGCAACGCTGACCGAAGTGTCCACTTGTATACAAATAAATGTATACACACGACTTGTATTCATGTTTTGTCATCAGTATATATTGAGTATCACAGTTTTAATACAGTTTTCCTTTCTTGAAATGTGTATGCTCTTTTTTGGCACCCTCTGTATATATGCATATTGTCTATATTCACATTCTTTCTATTTTGTTCACGTTTTGCCTACGTGTCCAAGGGTGTCACGTGGACGTCTCCTGTATTCAATGCACTGTTATTCTGGGCTTAACATGGCCTGCCCCTCATAGGCTGCACTCTTTGTCCATTAAAATTCCCTCTTGGTGTTGGCACTCTGTGGTGTCACCTCCCTTCTCTACATTTTTAGATGATGAAGAACAGTTGCGATGAACTCTTAACCTTAGAAATTCCCCCTAGGGGCCCGGCTTCCTCAGAGTTTAACCTCTACCTACTTCCTGAAATTCACAATGGAGGTGTAATCCATTTTATAACTGAGGGTTGTAAAACTGGAAACTGTCTGAAACATTCCCAGCCTCCAAGGTAAAAGGGGGAACCTAGTGTTGCCCCAGGTTTCATCATCACCAGACACCGCTGGGTCAGCGGGCCCTTGCACAAGCTCATCATCTGATGCCAACACGTCTCTCACTGGCCAGGGGACACAGGAGCAACACTGAAAGCGAGCCCCCCACTTTTCACGAATGCCTCCATGTTGGCAGCATTCTCGAGTCAGGATGCGCAAGGGAGTTGAGTGTCACTGGGTCAATAGCAGGAGGAGGAGAGAGGCAGGCTGACCAGTGAGGAAAGTAACCTTAGAACATTACGTTTCTGCATTGTGAACACTGGAGTTAAAATGCAACCATTGCTGATGCTGAAGCAGCTATCAACAAAAGTAGCTAGAGATACACCCAGCTATCAATCCATGTTGCTTTTGATTTGGGGTTATCCTTCCGAGGTCTGGAAACTCTACAGCTATTGTCCTTGGCCTTTCCTGAGTAAAAAAACTCTTAAAGGATTTCTGGTTCATAACCCACATTCTCTTTCTATCACGTTTGTTCACATCAGGGCTATCTTAGCTGTCCACAATTCTTTTTTCTTTCCTTAGTTCTTCTATAGGATACAGTCCCATGACTGATCATGTGAGGCCTTAATCCAAGAGTTTTCTTTAGAGGCTTAAGATATGCCGGGCTGAAGTAGGTGTCCAATTGCCAGGGTACCTTGGCTGGCTGGCTAACCATCAGAGGCTTAGAACAGACCTTCCCTGGGATGTGTTAGCAATGGGGACATTCCACGGACTCCTCCGACTTACTTCTACAGGACTAATTCTCATGATTTCTTCAAACGATAAGTGAACCATATATCTGCCCAAAATCCACAAGTTTTCTGCGCTGACCCAAGACACAGAGTTATCTGCAAGAAAACACACAAACGGACAGATAAGTCAGTAAATAAACAAAAGCCTTCGCACTGGAAGGCGAGAGTCAAAAGCGTCTTTGATGCCAGGACCTCCTTCTTACATTCATTAATTCACTCAACAAACATTCACAGACAGCCTCCACCCATGAGACACCACGCCGCCCGTTGGGATTCACAAACAACTGCCACCTGAGGCTGTTACTCAACAGTGTGGTCCCTGGCCCAGCAGCCTCAGCATCACCTGGGAACATGTCAGAAAAGCAGATTATCCTTTAAGATGTAAGACCACAAAATACAGTTTTGTTTTTCACTCACTTCGTTAGTCAATAACCTTGAAATACACTTGACTCACTTTCATTAGTACCAGTGACAATCGTCACCATCCTTACGGGTTATCACCATGTCACTACACCTGGGCCAGACCAAACTCCTCACCCCTCCACTGTGCACCCCAAATATTCTCCAAACTGTCGCCCGCTTGGGCCCTTCTCACCCGCTAGCATGCCTTTCACCCAGCCTGTCTGCCCTCAAATCCCACCTTCAAAACTGAGCTCAAACGTTTCCCTCCCTTAAAGCCTTCTCTTGTCTCTTCAGCCAGCAGGACTGTCCCCCTCCTCCAAACACCCCGAGGACTTTGTCACTCTGGTCAAGCACTGGAAATTCCCCATCCACAGGATATCAGTGGGACTTAAGGACAATTATTTATGTCCAGGATCCCACTTCGAGTTTGCACTGAGCTGGAAGTGGCCCCACTGCCCGCTGTCCTTCAGTACAAGGGTTTTACACACAACACCATTGCGTTGGCAACATGTGAGGGAGTGTTTACAGGGCACTATGCATCAGTCACCATGAGCTGGTGCGCAGGACGCCGTGGGCAACGGCTGATACCAAGACGAGACGGTGAAATCAGGGCTGGGTCACAAGAACAGGGTGACTCCCCCCACCCAGGAATGAGAGCTCTGGGTGAGCACAGGTAAACACCCTAGGATCACCTAGGCAGGGACACAGGACATTTGACGTGGGGGTTAGACAGGTGACTCCAGAAGGCTCGATAGGGAACTGGGGAAGAGAAAAACCACTCAATTCACCAAGAAACACATTGAGGTGTTCATTTTTAATTAATGACTATGTACAAACTGTTTCTTCAGACTAGTGATTCCCAAGCTTGGGATATTTCCAACCGCTAAAGTATTTCCAGGTGCCTCAAGGAACTTCTTAAGAACCAAGTAGGGTTCATTTCCATAAACTATAGTTTAATAATGAAACGATTCCTACAGGAACTTGAGAAGCAAAGACTGTCTCTCATTAAATGCTGGCAACTGGGAAGTAGGGAAGTAGGGAAGGTTGAGTGGCTTTCTCGGGGTTACAGCATGTGACAGTCAGATGCCTGGGGGCCACGATCACGTGTTGGGCAGAGGGAATTCTGGGTACACCGAAGACACTGATGAGTATGTTGTTTCATGTTCCTTCTATGCAAACCCCAGAGCTTAATTCCAGGAAGAGGGCAGACTGGCTCCATCTACGCCAACCCCACTGACTTCCTTTCTGTCCCCAGCACACCAAGTTCATGGCCACCTCGGGAACATCATGCTGGCAGTCCCCCTGCCTGGAATGCCCTTCCTCAGAGCCTGGCAGGACAGACTCCATTTCCCATTTTGGTCTCAAGTCCAATGTCAGTTCTCCTCTGACTCCTGCATCCAGGGCTTGGCACCCCGCAGCCCAGGGGCCAAACCCGGCCCACCACCTGGTTTTGTATCACCTGCGAGCTCGGGTTTTACACGTTTAAATAGTTGAGGGTGGGGAAAGGGGAATTGAAAGAAAAAAAAGGCATTTTGTGACATGTGAAAATTATATGAAATTCAAATTTCAATATGCGTAAATAAGGTTGTATTGGGCCTCAGCTACACCTAGCTTTCTATTGCCTATGACTGCTTTTGCGCCGTAACATCAGTTGAATAGCTAGGACAGGGATCATAACCCCACAAACCCTAAGATGTTTACTCTGGCCCTTTATAGAAGACATTTGCCAAGCCCTGGTCTAGTCTAAAGAAATCACCCTTTCCAGGGTAATTTATCCATGCTAGTTTCTTCACAGCGGAACCTGAGTTCTCTCTTTTATTTACTTGGTTAAAAATGGTCTCCACCTACCCTCCCACAATGAAACAACAGCTCCCTGAGAGCAAAGACTATCTTATTTTACTCTGCATCCCCAGTGGCTGACACATAGTAGGCTTTTTTTAGAAGTGTTTAAGAAGTTGATTCTGTGTACATTCCTGACACCAAACATTCAATAAGTTAACGCTATCTGAAAAACTGTTTGCGTTACTAATCTACATAGCCATTGTTTTTCTGGATGTCTCTTATTTTTCAATTATGGTAAATCATACGTAACATAAATTTACCATCTTGGCCATTTTTAAGTGTGCAGCTCACTGGTATTCAACGCATTCACACTACCCTGGAATCATCACCACCATCTGTCCCCAGAACTCCATTCATCTTGCAAAACTGAAACTCTGTGCCCATTAAACGCTAACTCCCCACCCTCCCTCCTCCCAGCCCCTGGCAGCCACCATTCTACTTCCTGTCTCTAGGAACCTGACTGCTCTAGGATATAGTAGGTTTTGAATAAACATCTGTCAAAGAAATGAACCCTGACCCATTTCTGCTTTGATTGCCAAGAAGCTTAGCACTAAATTTCTGTGCTTTATTGCTGAGATTTTCTTTTTTCAAAAAATCTATCTTGTCCCATTTTAATACAGATGTCTTCATACAGATCTTGAACTTGTAACCTTATTCTAAAGGCTCACACCAAACCTAAGATGCCATCATTATTTATGTCCCACTAAGAAGCCAGGAACGGGCGTAGGCTGTGAGATACAGGCCCATCCTTATCTCAGCCTCCCACTGTGTGCCGATGAAATGGGGAATGCGTGTTAGGCCATAAGCCATGTCAAACCCTTTCTGGAAGTCGGGAGAGGGGCAGGTAAAAATCACAAGTGATAATGCAACAAAATCCCTGTCTTCAGAGGTGAAGCCCCTCTTTTTTAAGGATGGACCGCATCCCCTATAAAAGGACCCCACCTCAAAGCACGGGCTCACCAGTGACATTGGAGGACGTCTGCAGGACCCCAGTCATCCAGGAGTAGAGAGCTCTCTGAGAATGGGCCGAGGTTTGGTCATAGAGATCCTTGAACACCGCAGATCTGAAGGAGACAAACATGGGGGCCCATCAAGGACGAAGCAGGTGGGGGCTGCCTGAGGAATGTACCCCAAGATGTCTGGTGTTAAAAACCCTCCCCTGGACCGGCCGAGTGGCTCAGTTGGTTAAGAGCTCGCTCAAGAGTTTGAGCTCTGAGCAATAGCGGTTCGAGTCCAGCCCGAGCTGAGCAGCTGCTGAGCTGCCAACAGGTAGCAGGATGGCTCAGCTAAAAAAAAACAAAAAAAAAAACTTCCCCGCCCCCTTGCTCTGGGGCACTGTTTTCACACTCCTCCTCTGCCCTCACAGCTAAATACCTTCCCAAGAGTGGTCTCCACGTCCTCACCTCTTGGTCACCTTTGTTTTGGTAGCAGCTTTACTGAGATATGAGTCACATACGATACAATTCGCCCATGTAACATGTACAATTCTGTGGTTTTCAGTATATTCACAGACCATCACCACAATCAATTTTAGAACATCTTAAGCACCTCAAAAAGAGCAGGAGATATAGTTCTGGAAAAATTCTTTAAAGGAAAGCTTGTCCATTTGCAAAAATGCTGGCGCTAGCATTCCCTAAGAGTCTGACTTAGGGCAAGTTATTTAACCTCTCTGTGCCTCAGTTTCCTCATCTGAAAAATGGGGATGGAGTTAATGACGTCTTTCTCACAAGAAAAAGAGGGGCGACAGGGTAAAGTAGGAAGGGGGCAAAACTGGGGTGCGTTCTGATGCAGGCAAGTCCCATGGGGTCACCTCTGGCATGCCGCCATCTCCTCTGAGCCTCAGTTTCTTCATCTGTGAAAGAAGGGACTGGGTGCCCCCTGGGACGTCTCCAGTGGAAGTGGGGGCACCTTCTGGACTCCCCACTCGAGAACTGTGAATCCGGAGTCAGAGAATGTGATATCTGTCTTGTCCTGCTGTCTTTCTATCCATAAGGCTCGTAACCTTCCCCCCACCAACAGGCTCTTATTTGGGACCTATATGAAGTGGCCAGCATCCATCCCCTCTTTTCATAACAGCACCTCTATTTTTCCTGGAGAAACATGTCTCCCATGCTTGGTCCATGTTGTTTGGGTGGGACTATGACCCACATCTAAGCCATTCAGCATATGAGATCCCATGAGCCATGGTGATTGGTTCAAGGATGGCACATGACCCAGCCTGGCCCAATGAGAGTCAGGTCTAGGACTTTGCTTGACCCTGCTGAAAAGAGAGACTGCCTCGGCGGGACTGGGCCTCAGAGGCGGCGGGCTGGGAGCTGCCAGTGCTCCCTCGTAGGAGAGAGCGGGCCTGCGCACCAAGCCAGACCAGAGGATGGCAGAGCTGAGACAGAAACAGCCAAAGATGTTCCTTGATTGAGTAATTTTGAGCCTGAAGTCAGACCTACACCTAAAACTCCTGAATTATGTGATTCAAAAAAGCTCGAGTGGGGTTTCGGACACTTGCAATCATGCGAGCAGTGGCCAATCAACTCTCTCTTTTCTCCACGCCCACTCCCCCTCACATACAACCTGGGGGAGTGGGGGAGGGGAACATGCTGACTTAAGAGGGCAGCATAACGACCCACACAGCTAAGGGGTTTTGTGTGGAGTATGGCTGGGCCAAAACCTGGACCCTGGAGATGGAATGGGGTCAGTACATTGTCTGTCTCCCTTACAGTCCTTTGGCTGCAAACATACAAAAATAAAAACCTCCCAAATTGTTGTCATCATTGGTCTTCTCCTTCTAAACCATTTTTAGATTTAGAAAGGGCCTTTTAGGGCCATAAAGTACCACAATTAGTAAAAGCAGGGAGCTGGAGCTGGCAGTGGTGACAATGCCTGGGGTATTTGGAGTTCTGGGCAGAACCCTCTAACGTGGTGCCCCCGGCCCCCACAGTGTAATTTCATATCAGGCTAGGTGGTAACACACGGCACCCGGCGCAGCACCCCAAAAGGAAAAACTGCTCCCTTTCCAGTGCTCTGTGCACCCAGCTGCCCTTCAGGGACAAAGTCTCAGTGAGTGCTCCGGAGTCCCCAACACTTGGCTCCTTTTCAACCAAGAAAACAGACCCCAGGCTCAGAGCCCTGGAAAAGCAACACATCTCGCGAGGGCTTCGTGACACTGTGGGTTGTTTTATTTTAATTATAGTATTTATTCTTAATGACTACTTTTACTGAAGACAAAGGATACCAGTTTCCCATTGACAGTAACGATATCAAATTTGCTTTCTAAATAAATATCAAGTAAAATAAGAATGGGTCCCTGGAAAGAAAAACCAGGACGTAAATACGGCACAGGTGGTGACAGAGCACAAAGCTGTGAGGGTGGTACCAGAATGACTGACATTTGGGAGATGCTGTTTTCATCAGACCGTCTCGAAGCACCACCGACCGAAGCGTCTGTTCCAGACCTCCTGTCTCAACCTTTCTGCCTTCTCCCCTCTGCCATGTGTCACCCCCTTGAATCTCACAGCAGTCCCCGAAGGACGGAGAGTGGGCCTTGGAGGGTCGGGAGGGCTCACTCACAGGTTCTTGAAGGCATCCTCGCCCAGGTCCCGAGGGAGCCTGTCTGTGATCTCCGGCTGGAGGAAGCTGCCTGCGGACCCCCTCAGCACCCTGCCCAGGATGTCCACACACTCCAGGGGGTTTAGCACCTGGAAACACCTCTCCAGCGTGATGAGGAGCAGGCTGCGGTTCACGCCCGGGCTCTGCAGGGCTTGCTTCCGAATCTCTCCCAAGTCGATGACAATGTCTTCCAGCTCCTAGAGCAATGACAGAAGCAAGGGTGGTCTTGAGAGTGGCCTCTTAATTCGGAGGCCCCAGGGGGACCCTACTTAGCCTCCGTGGGAAAATTCAGGAGCACTGTTTAACACACCGTGCTGCTAGGGCAAACCCTCTAGAACTTTCCATCGCCTGCAGAACAAAGTCAAGGCCTTCTGCAGCTTCACACCTGTTCTCATTCTCANCTGAGCAGCCACTAAGCTGCCAATAGGTAGCAGGATGGCTCAGTTAAAAAAAAAAAAGAGCAGGAGATATAGTTCTGGAAAAATTCTTTAAAGGAAAGCTTGTCCATTTGCAAAAATGCTGGCGCTAGCATTCCCTAAGAGTCTGACTTAGGGCAAGTTATTTAACCTCTCTGTGCCTCAGTTTCCTCATCTGAAAAATGGGGATGGAGTTAATGACGTCTTTCTCACAAGAAAAAGAGGGGCGACAGGGTAAAGTAGGAAGGGGGCAAAACTGGGGTGCGTTCTGATGCAGGCAAGTCCCATGGGGTCACCTCTGGCATGCCGCCATCTCCTCTGAGCCTCAGTTTCTTCATCTGTGAAAGAAGGGACTGGGTGCCCCCTGGGACGTCTCCAGTGGAAGTGGGGGCACCTTCTGGACTCCCCACTCGAGAACTGTGAATCCGGAGTCAGAGAATGTGATATCTGTCTTGTCCTGCTGTCTTTCTATCCATAAGGCTCGTAACCTTCCCCCCACCAACAGGCTCTTATTTGGGACCTATATGAAGTGGCCAGCATCCATCCCCTCTTTTCATAACAGCACCTCTATTTTTCCTGGAGAAACATGTCTCCCATGCTTGGTCCATGTTGTTTGGGTGGGACTATGACCCACATCTAAGCCATTCAGCATATGAGATCCCATGAGCCATGGTGATTGGTTCAAGGATGGCACATGACCCAGCCTGGCCCAATGAGAGTCAGGTCTAGGACTTTGCTTGACCCTGCTGAAAAGAGAGACTGCCTCGGCGGGACTGGGCCTCAGAGGCGGCGGGCTGGGAGCTGCCAGTGCTCCCTCGTAGGAGAGAGCGGGCCTGCGCACCAAGCCAGACCAGAGGATGGCAGAGCTGAGACAGAAACAGCCAAAGATGTTCCTTGATTGAGTAATTTTGAGCCTGAAGTCAGACCTACACCTAAAACTCCTGAATTATGTGATTCAAAAAAGCTCGAGTGGGGTTTCGGACACTTGCAATCATGCGAGCAGTGGCCAATCAACTCTCTCTTTTCTCCACGCCCACTCCCGCTCACATACAACCTGGGGGAGTGGGAGAGGGGAACATGCTGACTTAAGAGGGCAGCATAACGACCCACACAGCTAAGGGGTTTTGTGTGGAGTATGGCTGGGCCAAAACCTGGACCCTGGAGATGGAATGGGGTCAGTACATTGTCTGTCTCCCTTACAGTCCTTTGGCTGCAAACATACAAAAATAAAAACCTCCCAAATTGTTGTCATCATTGGTCTTCTCCTTCTAAACCATTTTTAGATTTAGAAAGGGCCTTTTAGGGCCATAAAGTACCACAATTAGTAAAAGCAGGGAGCTGGAGCTGGCAGTGGTGACAATGCCTGGGGTATTTGGAGTTCTGGGCAGAACCCTCTAACGTGGTGCCCCCGGCCCCCACAGTGTAATTTCATATCAGGCTAGGTGGTAACACACGGCACCCGGCGCAGCACCCCAAAAGGAAAAACTGCTCCCTTTCCAGTGCTCTGTGCACCCAGCTGCCCTTCAGGGACAAAGTCTCAGTGAGTGCTCCGGAGTCCCCAACACTTGGCTCCTTTTCAACCAAGAAAACAGACCCCAGGCTCAGAGCCCTGGAAAAGCAACACATCTCGCGAGGGCTTCGTGACACTGTGGGTTGTTTTATTTTAATTATAGTATTTATTCTTAATGACTACTTTTACTGAAGACAAAGGATACCAGTTTCCCATTGACAGTAACGATATCAAATTTGCTTTCTAAATAAATATCAAGTAAAATAAGAATGGGTCCCTGGAAAGAAAAACCAGGACGTAAATACGGCACAGGTGGTGACAGAGCACAAAGCTGTGAGGGTGGTACCAGAATGACTGACATTTGGGAGATGCTGTTTTCATCAGACCGTCTCGAAGCACCACCGACCGAAGCGTCTGTTCCAGACCTCCTGTCTCAACCTTTCTGCCTTCTCCCCTCTGCCATGTGTCACCCCCTTGAATCTCACAGCAGTCCCCGAAGGACGGAGAGTGGGCCTTGGAGGGTCGGGAGGGCTCACTCACAGGTTCTTGAAGGCATCCTCGCCCAGGTCCCGAGGGAGCCTGTCTGTGATCTCCGGCTGGAGGAAGCTGCCTGCGGACCCCCTCAGCACCCTGCCCAGGATGTCCACACACTCCAGGGGGTTTAGCACCTGGAAACACCTCTCCAGCGTGATGAGGAGCAGGCTGCGGTTCACGCCCGGGCTCTGCAGGGCTTGCTTCCGAATCTCTCCCAAGTCGATGACAATGTCTTCCAGCTCCTAGAGCAATGACAGAAGCAAGGGTGGTCTTGAGAGCGGCCTCTTAATTCGGAGGCCCCAGGGGGACCCTACTTAGCCTCCGTGGGAAAATTCAGGAGCACTGTTTAACACACCGTGCTGCTAGGGCAAACCCTCTAGAACTTTCCATCGCCTGCAGAACAAAGTCAAGGCCTTCTGCAGCTTCACACCTGTTCTCATTCTCAAGGTACACCACGACTGTCTCCCCTCAGGCTCTCGCTCCAGCTGGAGTTCCCTCCCCACCTCCATTCGCCAGCGAAACCCAACTCATCCTTCAAGGCCAAGCTCAGTCGTCACCTAGTTAGTGGTGCCCTCTCTGATCCCTCCTATTTCAGTCAGATCAATGCTCCTTCCACCATGTCATCCCAAGAGCATCTTGAACCAACGTCTATGATGCATCAGAGATGCTCAAGGCCTGTCTTTCCTCCGAGCCAGAGGTTCTTAATTCTGGCTGCACACCAGCATCACCTGGGGACCCCAGCATCCACATAGAGTCTGATTTAATTGGTCCAGGGTGGGGTCCTGGCATCTGATTCTAATGTGCAGCTGGGGTTGAGCCAAGAGTGTCCCGTGAAGCCCAAGCCACATTCCTAGTGCTATGGCTGGTACCCAGAAGACACTGAGAAATAGCCTGTTAGAATGAATGAATGAATGAATGAATCCTTTGAACCACAGAACCCAGCAATCCTGACAGGGTTTAGTCACAGTCTGACTGGTCCCTCTGTCCTTCATTCAGCCTTCAGCCTTTGAAAATAACAGCCACCATTTCATAAGCATTGGCTTCGCATGCACCAGGCACTGTGGGACGCATGGAACAGACACATCATCCTGCAGGTGAAGCCCAGAGATTCCAAGGGTCAGACCTTCTCAGGTTCAAATCCCAGGCCCTCCACTTAGTGTATGTCCCCATGTATAAGACGCAACTTAATTTTGGGGCCTGAAATTTGAAAAAAAATGTATTACATAAAGTTATTGAACTCAAGTTTTATTCATCATAAAATTCATACAACTCCTCATTGCTGTCAAGACTCCCAACCATGAACTTGTCCTCATCTGTGTCTGATGATGAATCACTGTTTTCATATATTGCCTCGTCCTCAGTTCCATCTATGGCATTTGAAATCTACAACCACTGTATAAGACGCACCCAGAGTTTAGACCCCAAATTTTTAGAAAAAGGGTGCGTCTTATACATGGGGAAATATGGTATCATCTGTGTGTCCTCAGGCAAGTCACTTCCCTTTTCTTAAGTCTCCATGTCCTTCCTCTTTCATGGAGACGAAATTAGCACCTACCTCTTAGATTTACGTGAGACCTGAGTGAGATCATGAATGGACGGCGCCTAGTGAATATTCCACAGATGTTCTATGCTGTTATTAACTCAATATTGCAGGTGATGAAACCACAAGGGAATAAGCCAGCTGCCCACACTTACATGGAGCTGGATCTGAGACAAGGAGGCTGCCTGAGTCCAAGCCCACACTGACAACCACGACCGACTGTTTCCTGCCATCAGTTGCTGACAGGCGAGGGCTAAACAGTGTGGTGGTCAGACTACACCTTAGGGGTCTGTGGATAGAATTTAAGGAGGCTGTGAATGCTGGGGGGAGACTGCATCCTTGTGTGCACTACCATAGAACTGACACCCAGCATTTCCTTCCGGGATGAGCATGGGCAACCCGCAAAGTCTAAAATATTTACTATCTGACCCTTTACAAAAAGAGTTTGCTGACCATTCCCTTAGAATAAAACCTGACACATAGTAAACCCTCAATAAATATTAATCAATACCATTTTCATAGACCACCATCCCCACTTTTGCTATGTCTTTGTTCTGTCTTTACTATTACTTCATGTTTCTCATTAAATTTTTTTAAAACTTCATTTTAAGGGGAAACATGACATCCCTACCAAGCTCACGGGTTTGATGTGTCTACTCTATTTTTAATCACCGACATTAAAGTAAATCTATGACTATTAAAATGTTTAAATGGCTTGGCTCCTTTGGGGAAATGCTGGTCCATACTAACCTGTCCCTGAAAACAGAAAACTCTAAACTTCACCTTTCTGGGTCCCCCCAGATTTCCTGGGTCTGAGGCCTTGCTTTGCCCTTACAGCACCAGCCTCATTTATCTGGGTCTGGTTTTTGTCTCCCTCCAGACTGTAAACTACATGAAGGCAGAGAACAGTCTTTGGTCTCTGAACCCAGTGTCCCCAGGTGCATAGCAACCATTCATGGATGTTTATTGAGCCAAACTACTGGGAGCTCCTTGGTACCCCCTCATTTCTTAGTACCCATAAGAGTACGAATCACAAGGCTCTTCCTTTGAACTTTGGAGAAAGTGAGAAAAATCTAGCTCCCAAAGCCCCCAGAGGGCTGGGGAGGGATAAATTAAGGTCAGTGCCTCAGTCAGGTTCAATCTGCTTCAGCGCAACCAAAAGCGACCGGCCCTGGGCTTCTCTACTCCCCGGGTGCCCAGAACTCCTCACCAAGCGGTCCTTTTTGTCCTCCAAGAGGCATTTCATGGCGGTGCGGAATTGCTGAGCATCTGTTTCCCTCAGGTCCTCCAGCAGCTTCTGGGGCTGGTACAGACGCTGCTCCAGGTGATTTTCCATGGCTGCCTGGACATGGGGTGTCGGGAGACTCAGTGAGGATAGGACAGAAGCACAGTCAGGCCACCGACTTCCTGTGGAGACCACAAGCTGGCAGCCTGCAGCCCTTTGGATGGCCAGGCTCTGAAATTTTTCATTAGCTGCCAAGATTTAAAAGTCAGGGGAAGGGCCGGCTGAGTGGCTCAGTTGGTTAAGAGCTCGCTCAAGAGTTTGAGCTCTGAGCAACAGCGGTTCGATTCCCGGCCCGAGCTGAGCAGCCGCTGAGCTGCCAATAGGTGGCAGGATGGCTCAGCTTAAAAAAAAAAAAAAGTCAGGGGATGCCTCACAAATACCTGGATTTCCAACTTCTCTTGGAAAGCACAAGAATATGGCAACGCTGGGCACACGTCTCCTTCCTGGTCATTTACCAGCAGGCTGAGCGAGAGGCAGCTAGGGGCTCCTAGAATCACTCTCCTGCTTACATCCGCCTAGCCAGCCGACTTCGCCACGGCCTACCCCATCCCTGTAGGTGACTGAGGTGTTAAGAGCAGAACAGCTGACCTCTGCCCAGGAAGTTTACTACCCCAGGTGGGCACTGCTCAAACCCTCTATCAGGCCCCAAGCTATCAGCTCAGGACAAAAATTCAGGCAGCAGGGACAAAGTCCCCATGGCACCCCCCAACCCCCACTGCCCCAGGACTAGGAACAGAGGCCAGCAGCCTCTTCCTGAATAAGACTTCCTCGTCCACCTGGGGAATTATTTTCTACATCTCCCTTCAATAGAGCTGGTCTAGAAAGGCAGCCTGGCATGACATCATGAGCGAGAGGCAGAACCAGACAACCCACGTGCAAATCCCCACCTTGCGGCTTACTAGCTGTGTGGCCTTGGGCAAGTTACTGAGCTAGGGTTGCTACATAAGACACAGGATGCAGAGTTAAATTTGACTTGCAGATGAGCAATCAATAACTTTTAGCATAAGTATATCCCAAAGAGTGCACGGAATATACTTATACTAAAAAGAAAAAAAAAAAAAAAACGATTCGTTGCTCATCTGCAAGTCAAATTTAACTCGGCATCCTGTATTTTTCATCTGCTATGTGAGCAATGCTACCACTGGGCCTCAGTTACCCCAGCTGATAGTGGGATTTAGTAGGAGGGTTAAATGAGTGTATAAGTGTTTCCACTAGTCCCTAGCACACCGTAAGTGGTAGGTAATGACAGACATTATTCTCTGTCCGGAATGAGTTGAACAGCTATTCACTCAATGTCTCTCCCCCTAGAATGAAAGGCCCACACGAGTGGTAATGTGAGTGCCTTGTCGCCCTCTGAGTCTCCAGCATCCAGGACTGTGCCTGGCAGGAAGTCGATGCCAGAGAAATAGATAAGTGAAGAAATGGATGTCCAGACAGGGAGACAGGCAGTGTGTCTACTAAACAGGTGAAAATATGGACATCTCATGAGAAACCAACCTGCGAGGGAGAAAAGGACCCGGTGTGACTTCTCTTAAACTACCACAAACTGATGAACAACAGAAAGGAAGTAGATGCTATGAGGCCACCGGATGCCACCGCCAGCTGGCAGGTATCCTAGTACATGGTGACCAACCAACTCTCTGGGGGTAGTTTGCACATGAACATTGGTTGATATTTTTGCTTTCCTTTAAAAGGAAGGAAACATTGAAACAGCAAAGATGTACGTCAGAGCTTCCTTCATCCATTGACACGAATTCTTCGCTGAACCAGATAATAGGTCTTGAATACTGGAAGAATATTTCCTCAGTTTTTGGTGCCAGTCACGGTGTACTGGTGAAGACGGGACACACCACACTGGGCTGGCTGCTGGTCACGCTCACGAGGCACGTGCCGTCCAGTTTGCCACAGTCCCCACCATGCCCTATGGCTCCCCGAGGCAAACACCCACTGCCATCTACCAACACGCTGTGCTACTGCTCTTCTTGTAGCAGAATTAAAAGTGAACAAAAATAGGTCTCGGACCCATGACTGAGAGACTGATCATTGCACCCAAAGTTCCACTCTCCTGTAGTTCCTTTCAGCAACAGGATCCCACAAGTCCTGGTGGGTTCATGGCCTCGGGGACGGTGAGCCAATGGAAGGTAAGCAGAAGGAAGTGTGCAATTTGCAGGTCATGCCCTTAGAGGAGAAGGTGTTCACATCTCACTTCCTCTCCCCCTCCCTCTTGCCCCTCCCTTGGCTTGGAGGATGGATGAGCTGTTTCAGCCATGTGGGGAGCACTCCCTCGAGGATGACAAAGCAACGAGAAAGAAGGAACCTGGACCCCTGGGTGGTGGCCTTTTAAAATAGAGCTGCCTCTCCCCTCTGGACCTCCCACCTAGCTGTGGACTATTACGTGAGACAGAAATGAACTCAGTGGTGTGCACTGCTGTAACTTGGGGTCTCTTTGTTACAGGTGCTCAGCCTCTACCCTAATACACCATGTCTCCATTCAAGGAGGAAAAATAAGAGACAAAGAGCTTGTGTCATGTTTCCAGAAACAAGGAACAGAACACACTTCTTTGGGGAGGTGAAGATCTAAGCCTGGCCCACTTCTCCAACTTACCTGGCCCCTGAGTTTGCAATCCCTGAGCACGGAGGGAGGAACATATATGCATGGGTCTCAGGTACACACCTGCAGGCTGGGGATGGTGAAGGCAACGTTCTGTGAATTCAGGTAGGCCAGGACTCTGTGGGACAGGTCTGCCGTCCACACGTGGGCGCTTCAGCCAAAGACAGACGGGAGAAAGTCACGACGACAGTTCCCCTACGACGAGTAGCTCCCCTCCTAGCTGAGTGACCAGGGCACTGGAGCTCAGAGAGGATGGTGGAATTGGGCTGGGGGTACTAGAAGCTTTGTGCGTGGAGGTAGGAGACTTGTTAACCTGGCACAGTGAGTGGGGGTGGGTAGGGGGGCATTTCCAATTCTAGGAACCTGCCTGGATCTCATTCTCCCAAAGACAATGATCAATTTCAGAGCTGTGCTTAATATTCTGATTCCCATAGCAATCCACTTACATCAGCTACAATCCAAACAGATAGACTTAGAAAAACGTCCTTCCTAAATTAAGTTTAAGACACAGATGCTGTGTGGGTACCACGAGAGGCTAGAATGGCGCTGTGAAGAGTGCGGGCTCCAAAGCTGGGTTTGCACCCTGGCTCTGCACTTCTTTGTGTGGCCTCAGGCAATTGACTGATTTGTCCTGAGCCTGTTTCCCTTTCGACAGAACACAGCTAACAACTGTGAGGATTCAACTGGCTCACACATGTAAAGTGCTTCCAAAAGTGCGCAATGCACAGAAAACGCAGTTTCATTCATAAGCGCCCCAAATTGGGAAACAAGTCAAGTGTCTGATACCAGGTGAAAGGTCCAAAAAAGATGGCACATCCACTGAACGGACTTCCACTCGCCAATGAAAACGGAGTGAGCTGGACTTATGCTTCCAGCTATGATGGAGTAACTGATGATAGATAAACCCTCCCACCGCAAGCAATTAGAAGGCCTTTTCTGATCCCATTTTTGTTATTTTTTTATAAGTAGAGGAATGAGGAAATTAACAAATCAACAAATAAAACTTTTAGCCTGGAAGAAGATATCCCAAGCTGTCAATGAAAATTATCTTAGGGAAAGGATGTTTGGGGGGGGGCCTCTCACTTTAGTATAATTCGGTACCCCTGTCATGAAGCCCCAAGGCCCCCATCCTGCTCCTTAATAGTATCGTCATCATGAGAATTACCTGCTAATGTGTGTCATTCCTCAGCACTCCCCAGCGCCTTGCCCCTTATCCCCGGTATCTAACACCGGCCCGTCTGCAGTACATAACGTGACCTTGGAGGCCATGGGCCCTGAAACCAGGCTGTGAATACACACCCCGACTCTACCACTTCACAGCTGGGTGACCTTGATTCACTCTCCCTGGGCCTCAGTGTCATCATTCTGTCCAATGGGTTAACAACAGGACCTACCCTGTTAGATGTGCTTCTATGTACTTAGACCAGTACCTGCTACATAGTAACCCCTCGATAAATGTCAGCCCCTGCTAGAGCAAAGAGGAGAAAATTTGTGGAACAAATGTATCTACTCTAAACAACACTTGTGCCTAGGTTGCCATTTTTGATCATGAGTATGTGTTACTTTGTACAATTAAGAGGCCTCCATTAAGCATTTTTATGAAACATCGATTCCATCCCGTCCCCTCCCCTGTGTGATGGGTTACCTTTGAAACTGTATGAGATCCAGTAACGCTACAATGGGAATAAAATGAAAAGACAACTTAAAAAGGAATCACTCCACAGAGATCACAGGCGCAATCGGTGTGAAATTCTTAGCAGCACCAAGTGGGGACAAAGTGGGGACATTACCATTCAGATAGCTTCCCTCTATTATTTCTTCCTAAAAGGCAAAGAAGAGATAACATCAAGTATAACATCCAAAGGCTGGCGGTTCCAGGAGAGGGGGTTTTGATGAAAAGAAAATGAAATACTCACCGCCATTTTTTGCAGCAACGGATGCAAATCTGCAAGAAAGCCATTGACTGTATAACTAGAGTTGAATTTTGCGACCTTCAAAACTGCAAATGTGGGCTCCCCCCAAAAGTCAGTCGTGAAGGAAATTTTTAGCGGATTTTAATGATATCTGTGCCTATATGTGCCAGTGTGAGAAAGCCTTGGTTTAAAAACTCTTTTAGAATAATCCTGAAAATCCCACATACATTTGCTCACACATGTGCATGTGCTCACATGCACACACATGTGCAGACACACACACTCACTCTCTCTCTCTCTCTCTCTCTCTCTCTCTCTCTCTCTCTCTCTCCAAAATACTTTACAGCATCACGTACCTAAATTGATCCATCCCCACTCCATTCCCCTACAATATCTGGAAACCACGACCAGTGATTCCTCCCACAGGACTTACCCTGCCTGGAATTTGGAACTCTGTGACTTGCCAAGCCATGACTCAGAAAAAGGGACAGGAAAAGAGCGTATGTCCTAGGTTCCTGACACATCCTCCTGCAGTTAATTCAAGCACGGAAGTGATTCAGATTTGATTTCTTAAACATATTTAAGAACATTCAGGAGATCAAAGGGAAAGACAAGTAGACCCAGCATTCCTGGAGGTTTTTCTTTTTTTAATAATTTAAAACTTCCATCTAATTTGCCCCATCTAACCCTCTATCCTAGTCTAAGACACAATCATCTCTCTCCTGTTTAAAGTCTTACCTTTTCCAGCATTCCCCTCAGTTGAGCAGAGAGGTGTGCTTAAAAGCATGGGCGCTGTTATATCTGACAAAGGATTTATAGCCACAACATAAAAAGAACTCTTACAATTCAGTAAAAAGAAGCTTAGCCAAAGGGGGAAAAACGGAGAAAAGATATAAACTTAAACGTCATTAAAAAAAAATACAAATGGCCAATAAGCACATAAAAGATTATCAACACCATTAGTTATTGGCACATGCAACTTTAACCCACCATGAGACACCACTACATACCCACTGGAATGGCTAAAAGTTAAAAAGGCTGATAATACCAAGTGTTGGTGAAAATGTAGAGCAACACGAACTTTTATGCACGGCTGACACAGCCACTTAGGAAAACTGCTGGGCGGGGTCTTATCAAGTTAAGTATACACTAGTCTGTGACCCAGGAATTCCGCCCTAGGTACTTACCCAAGAGAAATTAAAGCATGTGTCTATACAAAGACGTGTGCAGTTTCACTCACAGGAGCCCCAAATTGGAAACAGCTCCAATGTCCAACAACAGGTGAAAAATCCAACAAAGATGGCACACCCATGCAATGGAGTACCACTCACCAATAAAAAAGGAGTGAGTTGGACTTTCACGTCCAGCTGTGATGGAGGCATCGGCAATAGACAAACCTCCTTCTTAAACAATGAGAAAACCAACCAAAATAGGCGAAACAAAGGTTTTCAGACATCGGACAACGGGGAGCACAAGACCGAGATTCCCCAGAAAAGGGGAGCTGTGGTGACAGAAAAGACACAGCTTGGTCTCTGCCTCTGGTTCCTGGCACAGAGCTCCTGAAACCCTTGTCATTTCCTACGTGATAAGAGCAATAGGAGCATCTTTTTCTCCAAGGAGGTGACTCTGGGTGGCTCCTGCAGGGGGGCTGGTCACCAGAAAGACCAGGCCATGATTAGAAGCTTGGAATGATCAGCCCCCATCCTCCAGAGGGGAGAGGGGCTGGAAATGGAATCAATAGGTGATCACGCCCATGGGAGGAGTCTCCCTAAAATCCCAACAGTAGGGGATGCAGAGCGCTTCCAGGTGGGTGGACACCCCCCAACTCCATGGGGACAGAAGCTCTGGCACTCGGGACCCTCCCAGACCCCGCCCTGTGTATCTCTTCATCAGTATCTTTAACAAACTGATACACGTTAAGGGCTGCCCAGAGTGCTGTGAGCCACTCTAGAAAATGAATCAAAACTGAGAGGGTTGTAAGGAAACTGAGGTTTGCAGCCAAACCTCCTTCAGTCAGGGGATGGTTAAACTCATTGGGGTACATCCACACTATGGGACGCCACTCAGTAGTGAAGGCAACAAACTATGGTTACGCAGTCGTGTGGATGGACCTCAGGGGACTGTGCCGAGTGGAAGAAAGCCAATCGTGAAGGTTACGTGCTGAATGATTCCCTGTATGTAAAGTCATCGAGAAAGATTAGTGTTTGCCTCAGGGAGAGGGGGAAGTGTGGCTACTCAGGAGGCACCAAGGAGCCTTGTGGTCACAGAATAGTTCTGAGTCTCGAGTAGATTAGTGGTTACATGAGTCTACACATGTGACAAAACTGTGACTTATACACACGCATAAGTGCATGAAAATCTGGTGAAACCTAAATAAGCTCTACCGATTGCACCAATGTCAGTTTCCTGGTTTGGATACTGTAGCAAAGTTATGCAAAATGGAATCCTGTGGGGGAAATTGGGTAACGAGTACACGAGGGCGTGACCCTTTTTTTTTTCCTTTTGCAACTTTCTGTGAATCTATAATTAGTTCGAAATAATACATGTTTGAAAGCACCCAGAGGAAAAAGTTACATTACGTGCATAGGGAAAGGAATGAAGTGATTACTGCAAAAACATGCATGAGCCTCTCAAAAACGTCACGTCAAAAGAGTCCAGATTGCATGATTCCATTTATATGAAATTCTAGGACGGGTAAAACAATCTACGGTGGCATAAAACCCATCAGGACTTGCTGGGATGCTCCTGGGACACAGTGCGGGGAGCTTACTGCAAAAAAGGTCACCAGGGAACTTTGTGGGGTGACATTTCTCTGTCTTGATTGTGGTGGTTGTTATATAGACACATATATGTATGCATTGATCTAATCTCAGCGAACTGCACACTTAACGTGGATGCATTTTAATGTACTGTAAACTATACTTCACCAAAGTTGATTTCAAAAGAGAAAGGACAGGCACGGGCTAAGCAGCCAGGCCGCCTGGTGTGAATCCCCTCTCTACCGCGTACTAGCTGTGTGATGGTGCCCGAGGTCCTTAATCTCTCTGTGTTTCACTTTCCTCACGTGTAAGGTGGGGTTAGGAACGGTGCCCACGTCACAGGACTGTCTGAAGATAAAATGCATTAATGACAGTAAATCACGTAAGACAACCCATGACACATGGGTTTATTAAAGAAACAAATAAGCCAGACGGATATTGTCAACGCTCAAATCACAGAATGACTGGGGGAAAGAATGTTCCAGAAAAAGGGAATGGCAAGTGCAAAGGCCTCGAGGTTCGGAACGCAGCTGGCATGGTTAATAAATCGCACGAAAATCAGAGCAGTGGGGGATGAGGGTTAGACCACTGCCAGCAACTCGACTTTGACCTGGAGGGAGACGGGAGCCATGGAAGGGATATTAATTAGCACAAGCCCGAGAGACAGGCTCTGTTTTAATGCCCATGAATAAAGTTTTATTGGAACAAGGCCACGCTCAGTCGTCTGCATGTTCGGAGACTGTGCGTTCTACAATGCCCAAAATATTTACTCTTTGTTCCTTTACTGGGAAAGCGTGCCAACCCCCCTTTTAGAGCCACATACTTACATATTTATGGAAGAAATGGGATGTTTGAGACGGCTTCAAAATAGCACGGGAGGGAGGAAATACGGGGTGGTGGGTGCCCATGAGGCAAGGTCGGCCATGGGTGGGCACAGGAAGCTGGGTGATGGGTAACTGAGGTGCATTGTTGTCTTGTGTAGACTTTTGCACGTGTTTGAAATTATCTGTGTAAACCATTTTTAAAAAGGAAAAGCAAAACAGAAGAGACTGTGTGTTTTGAATAAAGGAGGGTGGGTAGGTGAGGAGAGACTGGGTAAGAGGTTTGAGGGGGGTGCCCAGAGGATGAGGAGGAAAATCACAAGCATAGTGCCCTTGAGGTCAAGTCAGGTGAAATCTGGGAGCTGCACTATGGTTCCCTCAACTCTCCATCCCCCAGATACAGATAGCCCCCACCTCTTCACAAGAATTTGAAGGGAACCCCATCATGAATCCTTAGGGTTTTCCAGATTATTTCAGAGGTGCCTCTGCATTCTTCCATCCAGATTTCCCTGGCTTTGTCTAGCTTGTTATGCAAATAGATTCTTTATCCCCCCCAAGGGGACATCCTCCACCAGCTTGGGAAACAGTTATGCTCATTTTACTGCCCAGGGCAAAAACAAACTGAAATTTCTGAAACCTCCAGACACCCAAGCACGCATTCTAACAGGTTTTGGGGGGCCCAGTCCCAAAGCACTTTGTAGATGCATCCAAGCCCCCCCAACCCCATGGCAGGTTCACCTCTCATAATCACTCTTGCTGGGTTTGGGTCTTTGGGGCCTTTGGCCCTTCTATCCCCCTTCCCTTTGGTCAGCTGCCCTGGGGCACCAGCCTCATTCACAATTCTCCAGTTTCCCAGACAATGAGGCTTCTTGTGCAAATGAGTACAGTCTCCCTATTAACTCTACGGAGAGGTTTACAATTACCGAAACAGACGCCCGCTTTCTGTCTTCGTTCCAACGAAACCCCAGCCCATCGCCAGTATGGGATTTGTTTTTAATTAAAAGCCCTTTGGGTCACTCTCTTTCAGGAGACTGGCCAAAACGGCTGAAAGGCCCGAACAGGGCAGTGGTGATTAGGGGGTCGATAGCTTCCTCCAGGGGACCCACCTCATCCCCATCAAAAGGCTCCCCCGCTGCAGGTGGGTGGAAGTCAGCCAGGCGAGGACTGCCTGGGTGGAACCTAAAATGAATATGGCAACAATCACGCCAACCCCGAAATGAACACAGTTTTGCCTGAGAAACTGCGAGTATTTGGACGAGCAGCAAGACCAATGGTTTTAAAACCGGGAAAGTCACAGGCAAACCAGGAAGAGTATGATCACCCTGCAGATAGATGGAGAGACATTCTGTCTTCTGTGAAACGTGCAAAGACACCGGGAGGCTCCTCCAGTGCTGGGGCACCCCATCCCAGACACCAACCAACAATTTGCAATTACAGGGAGTTTAGCGGTCTGCAAAGCCGCTCCAGCCGAGGTCTGTGCTGTGGGCACATACATACCTATGGGCCTGCAGATTTGAACTTGGAGATTTTAAACACACACACACACACACACACAATTACTATTCATACAGAACGGGCTAATTTGTCAGGCCTGCAGAATACCAGGCTGATTGAACTGGATTTGGATTTTTTTTAAAGCCCTACTGTCGGAGTGGCCAGGTTCCCATGGGGTGTTGAACTCCAAGGAAACTGGCTGTTTCTGGACCAGAGGCGTGGGCGCTGCTCTTGCCCCAGCCCTGTGTCTGACGCGGAGGCCCTTCCTCTCTTCTAGTCTCAGGGAAGCAAGCTGGAAGGCTCGGGCTTCTGTGATGATAGCAGGAGGGACAGGAAGCAACAGCCTCCCTGAGCATCTTCCATGGGCCAGGCCCTCCCTTCTAGCTACTCTTTCCATTAGCCCTGGGCACTTACTTAGCCTCCCAGAGGAGTTCAGTGGACACGCAGGGTC